AGGCAAGGTAGGCCTAGTCATTTTAGAAGCCATAGATCTATTTAGGGGATGAATGTCTTAATCTGCTGTCAAACCCCAGTCCAAATGAATCCAATATGGGTTGGAAACTTTGGGCTAGCTCTTCTAAGACCATTCAAAATTAGATGGTTTCATTAAATTCAGCGTTTATGGGGTGCCTGGGTGGCTTAGTCATTAAGTGTCTGCTTTCGGTTCAGGTCATGATCCCAGGGTCCTGGGATGGAGGCCAGCATAGGTCTCCCTGCTCAGTGGGAAGCCTGCTTCTCCCTTTCCCACTCCCCCTGCTTGTCCTCCCCCTCTCACTGTCTATCTCTGTCAAATAAATAAATAAAAACTTTAAAAAGTATATAAAAAATAAATTAAGCATTTATAGTCTGTTATGTGCCAGAACTGGACAGGTTATAGAGAAACAAATTATTAAGCTGTCGCCTCTGTCCTATAGGAGTTAAAGGATAAGGAAACATAATAATAAAAGAATATGGAAATAATAGAATGATAATAATAGAATGTACAAAATCCTAAGTATTAAATGAGATTCAAAGTGCTGTGGGAGCACTGAAGAGGAAATGAATCACGACTGGAGAATTCAGGAAAGTTTTCTGAAAACTTGGCACTGGGCTTTGAAGGATGAGTATCATTTTGAGAGGAGAGAGGGAAATCAAAAGTTCTTAGTAGGGGCGCGTGGGTGGCTCAGTAGATAAGCGTCTGCCTTTGGCTCAGGTGGGTCATGATCCCGGGGTCCTGGGATTGGGCCCACGCATCAGGCTGCCTGTTCAGCGGGAAGCCTACTTCTCCCTCTCCCGCTCCCCCTGCTTGTGTTCCCTCTCTCGCTGTGTCTCTCTCTGTCAAGTAAATAAATAAAATCTTAAAAAAAAGTTATTAATATAGTCTTGGGTGACCAGAGAGCATTCTGGGTAAGAGAAGTACAGCTGGTAAAAATGAACTGTGCTAACTCAGCACCTCTTCACCCCATGACTTAATTTGTTTTTGTTGAGGAGGTTGATTTCCAGTTTATCCTTTCAGGACCAGTATAAAAAGACCCACACTACTTAGTATTTAATTATCCATAAAATGGTCTAATATTTAGGAAAGAGATTTCTTCATAGGTCCTTTCATTTTATTTTTTTAAAGATTTTATTTATTTATTTGAGAGAGAGCATGAGTGGGGGTGAGGGGCAGGGAGAGAGGAAGAAGGAGAAGCAGACTCCCCACTGAATGGGGTACCCAATGTGGGGCTCGATCCCAGGACCCTGAGATTATGACTTGAGCCAAAGGAAGATACTCAAACCACTGAGCCAAAAAGGTGCCCCTTTTTTGGCATGGGTCTTTCCTAAAAAAGAAAAATTATCAGGGTGCCTGGGTGGCTCAGTGGGTTAAAAGCCTCTGCCTTCAGCTCAGGTCATGATCCCAGGGTCCTGGGATCGAGCCCCACATCGGGCTCTCTGCTCATCAGGGAGCCTGTTGAGCTGCTCTCTCTCTGCCTGCTTCTCTCCTACTTGTGATCTCTGTCTGCCAAATAAATAAATAAATAAATAAAAATTATATTTTTATCTGCACTGCAGAGAAAAAAGCCCTCTTTCAGATCTCTCAGTTCAATACCTCAAACATTTAGTGAATGAGTACTGTGAGCCTGGTGTATGTCATGTCCAACAAGGGGTGCCAAGATAAAGACATAGCCCCTGCCTTCACAGAAGTTAGAGTCTCGAAGGTGTCAATGTGTATGCAGCTAATGGCAAAGCATATTACACATTCTATAACAGATAAAATGTGCTTAGGGATTCCTAGCTTGGGAAACTGGTGGAACGGGAGTACTACTCAGCAGGAGGAACATGGGGAAAAGATAAAGGGTTTGGTTTGGCTGTTGGTGGCATCTGTGTAGAGCGCACTGGAGAGGCAAATGAGAACAAGGTCAGGGCTGGAGACACAGATTTGAGACTCATCCATAAACAGCTGCTGAAACCATCATGCATTGCTCTTCCCTAGGAGACCAGGGTTTCAACCTCGGCATTATGGATATTTTGGTCTGCATAATTCTTTGTTTGGGGAGGGCTGCCATTGCATGTAGGAAATTTAGCACCCTTGGCCTCTACCCACTGGATGGCAGGAGCACATCCCCCTAGCTGTGACAACCCAAAATGCCTCCACATGTTGTCACATGTCCCTTGGAGGGCAAAATCAGCCTCACCTCAGAGAGGACTATTGGTCTAGGAGAGGGGAGCGTCCAAAGGGAAGATGGCCACGGGTGGAAACTTCTGGCTCTAAGAGCACAGTCAGAAAGGGAAAGAGACATTGGGAGTGATAGGGGGGATTGCCACAGATGGCCAGCCATGTAACAGCCTATAAAGGAGTTTGGAGACAAAAGAGGCCTTGGCAGTGGTGAGAGCTTTATGATCCTTCAGGGAACAATGCCAGTTACACCTCCTGAATGTGCCTTTTCCTTGTTTTCCAGACTTTCCCCAGAGAGGTACAGGTGAAAACTGCCACTTGGGCCATAAATAAGAAGATTGGGATAGATGTCAGTGCACCCCCGAGTTTGCCTTGTTGCTTTGCAGGCTGCTAATGTTCCTCTTTCACTATTTTCTCTTTCTGTTTCCTCTATTAGTCTCCCTTTTCTTTTGTAAAGTGCTTTAACAGAAATACAGAAATATATATCCAGATTATTTAATCCCAATAATGACCCCACAAAGCAGCTTTCATACTTCTTCCCATTTTGCAGATGAGGAAACTAGAGCTCCAAGAGAGAAGTGGCTTGCCCAAGACTACATAGCTAGGGAGTAGTAGAGCTGAGACCCAAACCTTCTGATCACATCGGGACCGAGAACACTCTTCATTCACACCATGACTGCTTCTTTGGCTACAATGCCGACCACCTAGCATTTTCCTTTGCAAAGTGACCTACATTCCATTTCTCCTGGAATAGAGCTTTCCCTCTCTGTAAAGGAATCAATGACTTGTTTCTCATCTTGCACCCTGCCCATAGTACCTTCTCTTTCCTTTCCTTTTCTTTTAAAGTAAGCTCTAAACCCAACATAGCTTGAACTCATGACCCCAAGATCAAGAGTTGCATGCTCCTCTGACTGAGGCAGCCAGGCACCACTCCCCACACCTCCCGGCCATATTACCATTTCTGCTCATTGTGCACTGTTTGGTGCCTTACTGAATGGCTCATCTTTGTGAGGGTGCTAGCAAGGTGGTCTTTTGACAAAGGGAAGCATTGTGATGTGTACAGGTGAGGCCAAGCCTGCAGGGATTCCACACAGTAAAGAGGGTGAGCAGGCTGCATTCCCAACTGTGGGTGCTGGAGAGTCTCCCTAATGGGTGCTGGGTTTAGGCCAAGGGTCAGCTCCCTCAGGGACACCAATGTATGTCCCAGGCTGGCAGTGGCGTTCTAGACCCCGATAATTCCTCAACGGCTGTAACCCTGATTTCCACCCTGGAAATTCTCCTCCATGTGTTTCTGCTCTCCTTGTCCATCTGACTCTGGTCCTTTGTTTCTTGGCACCTTTCATGTTTCCCTACCCACTGCCGCATATTAGCATCTGGAATTCTTAATCATAGTAATTATAATAGCCACCATGTACCGCGGCTTGTTTCAGCACCAGGAGCAGACAGTGAGATAACTGAGGGTCACAGATGTCCCATCAGTCTGTCCAGGGTCACACAAATATTAAGGTATAGAACAGTGTGTCTAATAGAAATATAAATTGAGCCACATTTGTAATTTTAAATTTTCTACTGGCCAAATTAAAAGAAGAAATGGGTGAAATTGATATTACTTAATGTTACCAACTTTTAAAATTTAACTCAATATACCTACAGCATTATTTCAGCAGTCATTGGTATGTAAAATTACTGATGAGATATTTGCATTCTTCTTTGTGTAGTAAGTCTTTGAAGTACTTGGGGCACCTGGGTGGCTCAGTCAGTTGAGTGTCCTACTCTTTATTTTGGCTCAGGTCCTGATCTCAGGGTTGGGAGGGAGACTGAGCCCCTGGGCGTAGGTCTCTGCACTCACAGGGTGCTTGAGATTATCTCTCCCTCTTCCCCTCCCCTCCTCAGGTGTACACTCTCTTACTTTCTCTCTCAAATATATAAATCCTAAGGAAAAAAAAGAAATACGGTGTGTACTCTTACATCACTTCTCAATTCAGACTAGCCACAGTTCAAGTGCTCACCAGCCACATGTGGTCAGTGGCTACTGTACTGGACAGTGCAAGGACAGATCAAGGATTCTGACCTACCTCTAAGGATAGTGAGAAGTGGGACAGCCACATTCTCTGTGAAAGCAGCCTGGTACTGTCCGTCAAATTTCAGATTTGCAAAATACAATAATCTCATCTAATTGGAGATAAGATTTCATTATAAAGTAGAATAATGCATCTCAAAACAGAGGTCCAAAACTTGTTAATTACTTTTTTTTTTTTATTTTTTTTTATTTTTAAGACAACTTTATTATTTGGTTATATTCATTGTAGAAAAATGTGAAGACACAGAAAAATATAAAGAAAATTAAAATGATTCAGTGTCCCAACCCCAAATACAGTAACAAAAGATTATATACCCATTTCTGGTATTTTTCTGCATTAATATAGAACTTTAAAGCGAAATTAGCAATGCAAAATGTGTGCACATATCCTTTTTTCATTTCGTATTATAGAGCAACCATTTCTTCAGGACATTAAATATTATGTGAAACATGATCTTCAGTTGGCTGCTTCACAACACAATTAGAGCTATGCTGTAATTTACTTCCAACTGTTGGATATTCAGATTGTTCTGAATATTTACGATTCTAACTAATGGTACATTAGACGTCCTTCCCTATACATAATTCTTTGTATCTCTGATAATTTTTTAAAGATAAATTCCTAGAGTAACCACCACAAAGGGTCTAAGTATTTTTAAGCCTTTCGATACATTTTAGCAAACTGCCCTCCAAAAAGACTACAAATTTATAGTAACACCAATAAATAGCCCAAGAATTCCCATTTCTTCCTCGTATTTCCTTGGTAACATAGGAACTGGATATTACCTCCCAACCTTATTCTTACAAATTTACTGGGGGAAGGGTAGGTGGGGTCTTATCTTTTTTTCTGAAGTGTCAGAATTTTTCCACATTTACCGGTCATTTCTGAAGCAGTCTAAGCCTTCGAGAAGGCTTCTCTGATACATGCATGTCTTCTTATCATGTTCTTCCTTAGCAGGCAAGGGCATGAGGGCTGCATGCCTTTTCCATGTTTTTTCCAAGTTAAGCCGAAATTTCTCAAATGACTAGAATTAGGAAGTCTTCCTGTCACCTAGGCAGCCATGTTGGTTTAATGTCTTGGTAATAAAACAGAAAACTGGGCCATATTCTTCAGGTTATGGAGGGTTTCTGACCATTCCATGGACCCTATCTGAGGTATGGTAGTGAGGAGCAGACTTTTGGCTTTATTGGCATTTTCTTTCAGGGTCTTTAGGACCCGGTCCACCGAAACCGCTTCCTCGTGCTCCTTCCAGCAGTCATAATCTGTCGCCATGGCGATACTTGCATAGCAAATCCCAGCCTCCTTAGCGAGAACCACCTCTGGAACTGTGGTCATGTTGATAACATCTGCCCCCCAGGTGCGGAACATGAAGCTTTCTGCCCGGGAGCTAAAACGAGGTCCCTCAATTGTGACCATTGTTCCTTTTGAGTGGCATCGGAGTCCTAACTTTTTAGCAGTCTCTATGAGGACCTCTCTCGTTTTAGGGCAGAACGGCTCAGCCATGGGAATATGGCACACTCCTCTGGTACAGGAATGACTTCCATCATAGAAGGTCTGAGGCCTTTTAGTGGTCCTGTCGATGAACTGATCAATAATGACGATATCACCGGGCTGAATCTCTTCCCTCAAGGAGCCACAGGCCGTGGTCACTACGATGTGTGTACAGCCCTCCTCCTTCAGAGCCCAGATGTTTGCCTGGTAGTTGACTTTTGAAGGCATAATGGTATGCTGTCTCCCATGCCTTGCAAGGAGGACGCAATCAACATTCTTGATCTTCCCCAAAATTAAGGCATCAGAAGGCTTGCCAAAGGGTGTATCCACGTATTTTTCAGTTCTTCCTTCTAAGATTTCTGGATCATCCAGGCCTGTTCCACCAATTATTCCAATCTTCACTGCCGTGGGGGTGGCACCCGAGGCCATGTCTGCGTGGGGTGGCGGCTGCGGTGGCGGATTCGTGGGGCCCAGCAGCGGATGAGGTCGGAGCGGCAGCCTTGTTAATTACTTTTAAAAAGCATGTGTTAGAGAAGCTGAAATTTCGCTCTCAGAACCCACACTGATACTTCTGGGATGGGACAGGAATGTTTGTTCCCTCTTGCATGTCCCTGTTATTGTTCTCTCTTGATAAACACCATCCAGGAAGACTAGATTTTCTGTGGCCTGGAGCCAGGTGGTGGAAAAATCCTTTGCCCTGGGGCCCTACTCTGTCCATAGGGCAGGACTCTGACCATTTCTGATGGGACTCACCAACCCCTCTTTGTGGCTCCTGAAGGGACTGTTGCACTCTGGAAAGAAAGAAGGGATTGGTAAGCTAGCATTTCCTGGTTCTCACAGTGGACAGGTCTTCCTTCTGGACACCGTGCGGGGCACACTGTCTATGCTGTCCTTTTACACCTCCCCACCATCCTCTGAGGTCAGCATTAGCACCTGCAAACTCCAGAGAGGTGAAAAGAGTCACTCAGGGTCACACAGCTAGTAACCCAGAGCTTTCTGACACCATAGCCCAGGATCACAGCAGTCCAGACTTGGGGGGTTTTAATACTCTCTGCCCACCCACCAACATTGGAACAGTGGTTGCCAGGAAGAAATTTTCATTTCTGTGTTCTGTTTCCATGTGAATTACCCCTGGCGGGCTACTTACAGTTGACTTCAGTCTCTAAGATTTGGGATCAGATATTCAGGACATTAAAAAAAGAAAGAAAGAAGAAGGAGACAGCCTCCTTATCTAGACCAGGAGGCCAGCCTCAAGAAATCTAGGAGGGCTGCTTGATCTTTCTTCTCTTGCTCCTGACGGGTTAGACAGTCTCTGGTGCCCAGGAGCCCTGTGGCTTTAAGCCTGAGCCCTGGTTTGGGAGGAGACTGGGAGGGCGACGGAGGGTGCCCGCCTACCTGGGGGAACCTGCTCGAGGTGAGGCTGGCGCGTCTCGGGATGCGAAGCGGGCGGGGGCAGGCTGAAAGTTGGAGCAAGCAGGAAGTGAAGCGAGGGCCGCCCGGGAGGAAACAGACTAGGCGAGTCCCGTCGCGGACAGGCCCGAGCCGCTGGGAGACATGGTGAGCGCGCTGGGAACCAGAAAGGGGCTGATTCAAAGAGGAGCCAGTGTGGCCTGGGGGTGGAGTGGAGGGCCCGGGGATCGGGGGAGCTGGTGGCGAAGGCAGAGCGCCGGGCCAGCGCTGGATGCGGCCGCTCTTCTTTGACAACTTGGCTGCGGAAAGCTCGCAGCCGCCTGGCGGGTATTCCTGCTCCTTGTCCACTCCCTCCCTGCCCTGACCTCGCTGCTGGCCTGGAGCAGGGTTTCGGTGGGGGTTGGGGGGGGTCCGAATTCCAGGCGGGGAGTTGCTGAGAGGCCCTGCATCTCCTCCTCCAGCCCGCCCGCCAGCCGGGGGTTGTGACAGCCCCCGGCGGCACCTCCGAAGTTCTCGGGGTTAGATTCCAGCCCCGCGGCGGGAGCTCTGCCCGGCTGCCTTTCACCTTATCCCCATATAGAAACTCCAAGAATCTGTCTCCCCGCGGAGTCTAAGTAATCGGCGGCCCCCTCTCTCTAAACATGAGGAAGAAAGCTAAGGGTTTCTAAAGGAACCAGAAGTTGGTTCTCTGTGATAATCCGTTTAGCTTGGACCCCCGCTTCCCGGCCTGTTTCAGAGGCTGAGTGGGTCAGGGAGGGAGGAGCCTAATACTGGTTTTTCCCTCCCTGTTCACAAAACCTTATCATCAGCCTGGGAGGACTTGCCCTCCATTTCCCTCAACACCCAGGCTGCTGTTTTTATTTAATATCTGCTTAAACAGGCGGTGGTGGCTTGGGTGTCTGCACTTGGTGCTATGCGGTGGGCAAAGCAGAAGTTCATGGCGCAATGGCTGTCCCTCGGGCGGCCTGGTGGGGGCCTTGGAGCCTGGTTGCTCTTGCTCTTGGTCCTGGCAAGGAGGCTGCAGGACGGCCTGGAGCCCGAACCCCTCTTCAGCTACTGTCTTGCAGTGAGAGGGGGTTTGTGCCCCCTGATGGTGTTCTGCCGGCCAGCACACATATTTTTTAATGAGGACCCTTTGATAAATAGTGGTGGGTTTCCCCTGTCATGAGATGCCAGGTCCTCTGACCGCATCAGAAGAGCAAGGCAACCATGGAGTGGGATTTAGGGCTGTGTTTCTTTTCGTCAGGGGCCTCGAGAACCTGAAAAGAAACTCGATCTAGTCTATCTAGCATCAGCGCTCACCTTCTGGGGCTTCAAAATGCATTTGTTTTTGATTACATGAGTAATACATGAAAACGTTCTCTTTGTAAACAGTTGAGGCATTAAAAAAAGCTAAAGTCCATCTCAGGCCTTCCCCTCCCCTGGCCTCTGAGGCTGACTCTCAGTTCCTCCACCACTTGGTCTAATTAACCCCTGTGCTGCTGCCCAGGAGGAGGCCAGTGGAGGTGGGGGACATGATCACGTGCGGAACCTGCAGAGTGAGGTGGAGGGCGTCAAGAATATTATGACCCAGAATGTGGAGCGGATCCTGGCCCGAGGAGAAAACCTGGAACATCTCCGCAACAAGACAGAGGATCTGGAAGCCACAGTGAGATAGGGAACCCGCCCAGGGAGGGGGTGGGGGGAGGGGAAGGTAGAGGAAGAGAGGGAGGGAGGATTGCTGGGCTTGGGGGGTTGGTGGTGTTGGAGGCAAAATGAATACGAGGGAAGTCTGCCTTTTCACTTGTTTGGGGGAACTGACAAGCAAGTCCCCAATTCTGACTCTGATCTACTCCACTGATTGGTACTGGGGTCCATGGAATGCCTCCAGGGACTTGGCAGTGGTGGGGGGAATGGGTAGAGCTGACTCTTGGAGGCATTTTCTGAGACAGATAAGATGGCCCAGTCAGCCCTCGCATTCTTAGGCTTCTCTCCCTTGAAACTGATTTTTCCCTTTGAAGGCTGCGCTTGACAATCATTTGGGCCTGACCTTCCCAGGGCAAAAATATTGGCTCTTGAAAATTCCTCCCAGGGCCTTTGGCCTTCTCTAGGAGTTACTAGGCAGGGGGCGGAAAACTGCTAGGGTTTTGCTGAGTCTGCTTTAAAAGGAAGCTGGGAAGAGCAGTGAAATTCTTTGATCCAAGGGTCCTCTGCTAGCTGAAGGCTAGAATAATATCTCCCACACATCTTGCTAGACCTCATTCCTCTCTCTGTCTCTTTCTCTAGCCAGGGGCTGAAGCCAGCTGCTCAGGGAGGGAGTAACTAACAAAATACTGCAACAAAGGTTGGAGACTAAGGTTCCATGTCCACAGGGAGAGACTGGCTGTGGCTTTCCAAGTCCAGAATGTAGTCTTGGGTCTAGTCTCCCCGGACTCAGTATTTCTTCCCACGGCCTAGTCTGGGGAGCATGGCCCAGGGAAATGTAATTTCTGTAGCTCGTGCTGAGGAGGAAGAACAGTTTCTCTCACCTCCAAGCTCCCTGCTGCCCTGGCCCTGTCCTCCAGCTTCAGCAGTTCCCATGGGGCAAGGAGTTGTTTAGCCTCCTGGAGCTAGCGCCCCTCAGCCCGTGTGCCCTCCCAAGGGCAGATTGTACAGACAGTGTCGCATCCCTGGGTGTGAGCATATGTAAAAGACTCCTCCATGTGTGTGACAGTGTAGGGGTAAGGAGAGAAGGGGGGTGGCAGGGGTCAAGGGGAGCCCAAGAATTCTAAATTTGAGCCTGGCCCATCAGAGTGTCATGAAGGTATATCTGTCAAGGTAGGAGGACTGCACTTTTTTTGTGTAACAGTCTGTTCCATCAACTGCTCATGTAAATATTTAGATGGCTAGCCTGTGGGCCTCTGTCCTTTTGTTCTGGTGGAAGGAGGCCCTGGTTCACTCTGCCTTGTCCCCAACAGTCGGAGCACTTCAAGACCACATCGCAGAAGGTGGCTCGGAAGTTCTGGTGGAAAAACGTGAAGATGATTGTCCTCATCTGCGTGATTGTTTTTATCATCATCCTCTTCATCGTGCTTTTTGCCACCCATGCCATCCCAACTTAGGGAGCCCCTCGCCCCTGCCCTCCTCTTCGGGGCCACCCTCCACAGCGGGTGCCAAGAAGGGTCCTCTCTCCCATCCTTGCCCGCAGGGAGTGCTGCTGCGTCCTCCCGCCCCTCACTCAGGGGCCCCTCTACCACACTGTCTGCCCCAGGCTCCTTGGCCCCCCAGAAGGAGAAAGCCGGACTGTGCCTGTGTTTCATGGGCCCCCAGAGTTGGTTGGAGACACACCCAGAAAGCCCAGCCTGTGGCTGGGAAACGGATGGTGGCCGGTGAGCAATAAAGACCTTTTGGTATCCCTACACATGTGAGGTAATCTCTCCCCTTCCGTTTTGCCTTTGGCTCTTCTATTTCTTTTCTCTCTGGGGACACCCTCTGCCTGAGATTCACCTATTTGAGGCCCCATGGTTGGAGGGGTAGACAGTGTATGTTTGGAGAAGAAAGATGGAGTCTTCTCATCTTTCTCTTATTTCCATTCTTGGTCAGAGGTCTCAAGAACCAGAATTTTCTGAGGCTCTTCACATGTGGAAAATTCAAAACCATTTTAGGGCGGTATGCAAGACTCCTAAGTGTGTCCCCCTGGGGTCTTGCCATGTCCCTTTTATTACTTCTTTGCTGGAAGTGTTAGCCGAGATAGGCGAGGGCCTCCTTCTATCTCTTATGTGGCCCTATTGCAGTCTAGAGTAAGGGATTGGAGGAACTGGGCCACTTTTCCTTCTTTTTGGTTCTGCAAAGTTGTTTTTGTTTGCTTGTTTGTTTTTGTTCTTTTTAATTTAAGTAATCTCTAAACCCAACATGGACCTTGAACTCACAACCCTGAAATCAAGAGTCAGGTGCTCATCCGACTGAGCCAGCCAGGCGCCCCTCGTTCTGTGAAGTTCTATTTGTCTTCTGTCTGCCCCTGCCCTTTGGGGACTTAGCAGGGCCTCCGGGTCTCAGCTGAGGGGGCGAGCATCTCTCCCCATGTCTCGTGGCCAGACCCAGTCAGTGTCACAGGACAGGGCCTAT